AAAAACGTGTGCGCTCGACGCTTGGCTACGACGTGTTGCTTGTGTGCGAGCGTGCGCGCGCAGGCGTGGCCAGACGGACTATCCCCACTCCATCCCCACCGCCGCGGCATCGTCCGTGCTAACGTTCTCGGCTAGCATCACTGCGCACAGTCACAGCCACAGTATAAGAAAGAACAGTAGGATCACTCTGTGAGAAATGGCACGGATGGTCGTCCTTCGCGCATGACCAATTTGCACAACTAAGAACATGGCGGCCACCAACATCAGCTGAACTTGTGTCTTGAAGGTCTCTATGTCACATAGATTTTTATTTTCGCATTGAATTTACAGTACGGTGATTTATTTAAAATGAGTGATAGAGGCGGTTATAAATGCTGTGTAATCAACTGTCAAAGTGCAAGTACCGAAAAACGAGGAATAAAGGAGACCTTATTCCGATTTCCAAAAGATGCAGAAAGGTTAGTTATTATCTTTTAAGTTAATTTTATCAACACGATGAAAGAAATATGTATGTATGTATGTATGGATGTATGTATGTATAGAAATTATTAGATTTTATTATGCATATACACATACATATTTATGTAATATACTGAGAGATCAAAATTGCACTTTATATATTTTAAGTTATTTTTAGTATAACGTTTAAACCATTATACAGTCAATTACGAATTATTAATAGTGAAAGTATATATAATATTTATTCAATATCTATATTACGTTTTTCAAAGGTCTAAATTGTGGATACTAGCTTGTAATCGAGATGATCTATCATTGAAGAAAGCTATAGACTTATATAATAATTATAGAGTGTGTAGGCTTCATTTTGAAAATAAGATGTTTCTAAATTACGAAAAAACGAGATTGCAACCAAATGCTGTTCCAAGTCCTGTTATTAGGAACAATGGTAAGTTATTGTGAAATAATAAAAGTATGTGTGTGTATAAAATTTGTCTTTTTTGTTTTCACAGAAGAAGAAGCAGGTCCGAGCAGGTCAAATAATATGAATGTCGAAGAGCATGAATCCAATGAAATATACTATACAGGTTAAATGTTAATAATGTATTTATAGTATTATAATATTTATGAATATGTCTAATTATTGTACTAGCTGCAGAATTAATACATGTTTTAGAAGTGAATACAACGCATACAGAAGTTGGAACAAAAGAATCAACAATGACAAATGTAGGAATTCAAACAGGTTTATCACTTACTTCAAAATCTCCACAAAAAGTCAAACTGTACCAAAAAATTAAGAAGTACCAAAAGAGGATATCAGTTTTGGAATCAAAACTTCAGCAAACACAGGATTGCACACTAGAGGATATTAATTCGTTAGATATGTTACTTGATAAATATTATCCCAAGGAGACGGCTAATTTTTTTAAAATGCAAGCACGCCTTTTCAGAAAAAAAGCAAAAGGCAAGAGATACAGTACTTCTTTTAAACAACATTGTTTAGCAATTTACTTTACGAGTCTCAAAACATATAGAAATTTAGTTAATAAGTCAAAGATATTTTGTTTACCGAGTTGCAGTACATTAAAAAAATTTACACAACGCTGTTATATAGATCACCTAAAAAACTTACCTTTTTAAAAAAAGGTAAAAAAAGCGCCAAGTATAAGCTCCAACGACCGAATATACATATTTAGTTACTCTATCTTTTTACATCTCTACAAAAATATCCTCACTACAAAACTATCTTCTCTACAAAAGTAATGATATCATCAAATAGCGCCAATTAAACT